CGTTAGGCAGTAGCCTGCCTTCAAACCCTCCGCAGCGCCTTTGGGGCTTTGTCCACTAGTTTTCTAGTGGCTTCAGAAAGCGACGTTAGGCAGTAGCCTGCCTTCAAACGCTCCGCAGCGCCCTTGCTGGCGCTTTTGGCAACTTTCCGGACGTCTGTGGCCATCTGTCAGAGGCTTGTCCAGTAGTTTTCTAGTGGCTTCAGAAAGCGACGTTAGGCAGTAGCCTGGCTTCAAACCCTCCGCAGCGCCTTTGTGGGGGCTGGTCCAAATGTTTTCTAGTGGCTTCAGAAAGCGATGTTAGGCAGTAGCCTGCCTTCAAACGCTCCGCAGCGCCCTTGCCGGCGCTTTTGGCAACTTTCCGGACGTCTGTGGCCATCTGTCGGGGGCTTGTCCAGTAGTTTTCTAGTGGCTTCAGAAAGCGACGTTAGGCAGTAGCCTGGCTTCAAACCCTCCGCAGCGCCTTTGGGGGCTTGTCCACTAGTTTTCTAGTGGCTTCAGAAAGCGACGTTAGGCAGTAGCCTGGCTTCAAACCCTCCGCAGCGCCTTTGGGGGCTTGTCCACTAGTTTTCTAGTGGCTTCAGAAAGCGACGTTCGGCAGTAGCCTGCCTTGAAACCCTCCGCAGCGCCTTTGGGGGCTTGTCCAAATGTTTTCTAGTGGCTTCAGAATGGCGATGTGTCGGGGGCTTGTCCAGTAGTTTTCTAGTGGCTTCAGAAAGCGACGTTAGGCAGTAGCCTGGCTTCAAACCCTCCGCAGCGCCTTTGGGGGCTTGTCCACTAGTTTTCTAGTTTCAGAAAACGACGTTAGGCAGTAGCCTGGCTTCAAAGCCTCCGCAGCGCCTTTGGGGGCTTGTCCACTAGTTTTCTAGGCAGTAGCCTGGCTTCAAACCCTCCGCAGCGCCTTTGGGGGCTTGTCCACTAGTTTTCTAGTGGCTTCACTAGTTTTCTAGTGGCTTCAGAAAGCGACGTTAGGCAGTAGCCTGGCTTCAAACCCTCCGCAGCGCCCTTGCCGGCGCTTTTGGCAACTTTCCGGACGTCTGTGGCCATCTGTCGGGGGCTTGTCCAATACTTTTCTAGTGGCTTCAGAAAGCGACGTTAGGCAGTAGCCTGGCTTCAAACCCTCCGCAGCGCCTTTGGGGCTTTGTCCACTAGTTTTCTAGTGGCTTCAGAAAGCGACGTTAGGCAGTAGCCTGCCTTCAAACCCTCCGCAGCCCCCAAACTAGTTTTCTAGTGGCTTCAGAAAGCGACGTTAGGCAGTAGCCTGGCTTCAACCCCTCCGCAGCGCCTTTGGGGGCTTGTCCACTAGTTTTCTAGTGGCTTCAGAAAGCGACGTTAGGCAGTAGCCTGGCTTCAAACCCTCCGCAGCGCCTTTGGGGGCTTGTCCACTAGTTTTCTAGTGGCTTCAGAAAGTGACGTTAGGCAGTATAGCCTGGCTTCAAACCCTCTGCAGCGCCTTTGGGGGCTTGTCCACTAGTTTTCTAGTGGCTTCAGAAAGCGACGTTCGGCAGTAGCCTGCCTTGAAACCCTCCGCAGCGCCCTTGCCGGCGCTTTTGGCAGCTTTCCGGACGACTTTGGCCATCTGTCAGAAACTTGTCCAGTATTTTTCTGGTGGCTTCAGAAAGCGACGTTAGGCAGTAGCCTACCTTCAAACGCTCCGCAGCGCCCTTGCCGGCGCTTTTGGCAGCTTTCCGGACGACTTTGGCCATCTAGTTTTCTAGTGGCTTCAGAAAGCGACGTTAGGCTACTGCCTGCCTTCAAACGCTCCGCAGCGCCCTTGCCGGCCGTCTTGGCAGCTTTCTGGACGACTTTGGCCATCTGTCGGGCTTTCCTTCTGCGCGTAGGCCCTCGCTGCATCTCGCTGCTCAGCCTCATCCTGGTGTTTTTTTTCCGGGGTCGGCGGCAGGGGCGGGAGCCCTTAAATTCGGCTCCGCCGGCTCCCCACGAGTGGCTTGCCCTACGAGCGTCCCAGAGCGACTAGAGCTCTAAGGTGAGGCGCGCCCCAAGCCGCCGACCCTCCGACGCCGGGCCCCGAAAAACACCAAAAATCCTTCAGGAGGGTGGGGGAAAGCTTTTTGGCCGGAATCCGGGTCGCTCATAAGCGTCTCCAAGAGCAAAATCCCGCCCCCCCCCGTTTTGAGGGTACCTAAAATCGAAAAAAAGTGTCGTTTTGACACATTTTTCGGACGATTTTCAGCTTTTCGAAATGGGCACAATGCTGTAAATTACAGCATTTTTGCGTTTTAACATCTTTTGCGGGAGCAATGCAAAAACGCAGAAAATGCTGTAAATACCAATACTTTTTTGACCCGAGATGCACAAAACACTGCAAATACCAGTGTTTTTGAAAGCCAAGCCAAAAAAACACTGTAAATTACAGCATTTTTGGCAAGTTTATCGCAAAAAATGCTGGTATTTACACTGTTTTTGCAATTTCAAGAAAACGTGGAAGGCACGAAACACTGTAAATAGCAGTGTTTTAGCCACTTTTGGACGCTGAAACGCTGGTATTTACACAGTTTTTTGCCCGTGACGGCGCCAAACCCCTGTAAATTACAGCATTTTTTGCACTTTTTGAACCGATTTTTTGCTTTGATGAACGCAAAAAACGCTGGTATTTACGCGTTTCCCAAAAAATCGAAGATCGTGACGTGAACGAAACCCTTTAAATAACAGTGTTTTAGCCACTTTGGGGGACTAAAACTGTGGTATTTACGCGGGTTCTTGCCAGCTGACAGCGCAATATGCTGTAAATTACAGCACTTTGTGCGCTGTTTATGTTCAATTTTTAAACACGCGATGCTTTCACATGTTCTTTGCATTATTTTGCACTCTTCCACAAGAAACAACGTTGCAGATTGAAACTGGACGACAGCGTGACCCGAAAGAAAGCTGGAGGGAGGAGACGCACAGAAGCTTTTACCCACACACACAGGAGCTTTTACACAGAGAAGTCTTTACAAAGGAGCTTTTTACATACAGAAGGTTTTACACAGAGAAGTCTTTACTCTAAGGTGCTTTTGCAGACCAACGTCTAGGAGCTTTTACTCACAGAAGTTTTTACACGAAGAAGTCTTTACACAGAGGACTTTTTACACACAGACGCGTTTGCACACAGAAGCTTTTACACAGAGAAGCCTTTACACAGAGGAGCGTTTACACACCAAAGCGTTTACACACAGCAAGCTTTTACACACGCAGGGGCTTTTACACAGAGAAGCCTTTACACAGAGTAGCTTTTTACACACAGAAGGTTTTCCACAGAGAAGTCTTTCCTCTGCGGAGCTTTTTCACACAAACGTCTTGGAGCTTTTACACACAAAAGCTGTTACACAAAGGAGTCTTTACACAGAGAGCTTTAACACACAGACGCGTTTACACACAGAAACTTTTACACAGAGAAGCCTTTACACAGAGAGTGTTTACACACGGAAGCTTTTACACACAGAGAAATCTTTACACAGACGGGCTTTCACACAAAGAAGCTTTCACACAAAGAAGTCTTTACACAGAGAATCTTACTTTTACACACAAAAGCTTTTACACAGAGAAGTCTTTGCACAGAGGCGCCTTTACACGAAGTAACAAGTTGAAATCGGCAGCAGTTCTTTAGGAAAAACCCTTCGCAGGAGCTTTCGGGAACTCACTTGCTCCCCAAAAAACGTCTATTCCAACAAATATGTTCCAAAAAACCTAAGGAATATACTTATTTCTGAAGCAGGTCCTCATTCAGTAACTTTCACGCCCTCACTGCGATGAAATGGAGGGCCGAGTGGTCCGGCGGAGCCGACGAGGGGCGTCAGCCCAAAAATCCGGCGATGCCGTCCGGTGGTGGTGGCTAAGCATAGCTTTAGCTACCCGGGGGCGCGCCCCTGCCGCCGACCCTCTGCCGACCCTCCCCGAAAATCCTTCAGCCTGCTGGGGTTTTCACGTTTTTGGGGGTTCGGGGTGGGAAAAAAGATGGTAAAATTTGAAGATGCGTTTTGGAGGTCCTAAAATCGGAAAAAAAATGCCGTTTTGACACATTTTTCGGGCGATTTTTCGCTTTTCGGAAGTCACAAAATGCTGTAAATTACAACATTTTTGCGTTTTAACGTCGTTGGCGGGAGCCATGCACAAACGCAGAAAATGCTGTAAATACCAGTACTTTTTGGACCCGAGATGCACAAAACACTGCAAATACCAGTCTTTTTGAAAGCCAAGGAAAAAAACACTGTAAATTACAGCATTTTTGGCGGGTTGATCGCAAAAAATGCTGGTATTTACAATGTTTCTGCAATTTCAAGCAAACGTGGAAGGCACGAAACACTGTAAATAGCGGTGTTTTGGCAACTTTTGGACGCCGAAACGCTGGTATTTACGCAGTTTTTTGCTTGTGACGGGGCCACTCCCCTATAAATTACAGCATTTTTTGCTCTTTTTGAACCGATTTTTTGTCTTGCTGCATGCAACAAACGCTGGTATTTACACGTTTTTCAAAAAATCGAAGATCGTGATGTGAACGAAACTCTGTAAATAAGAATGTTTTAGCCACTTTCGGGGACTAAAACTGTTGTATTTACACGGGTTCTTGCCATCTCACAGCGCAAAATGCTGTAAATTACAACACTTTGTGCGCATAGGCATAGGCCAACATAGCCTCAAGATGGGCCAACATAGCCCCAAGCTGGGCCAACATAGCCCCAAGATAGGCCGCCGACCCTCAGCATGTCATGTTCGCAAGTTCAGATGACATCCCCCTCTCTCTTTCCCTCCCCCGACCCCTACCGGCGTCGCCGGTGTGCGAAGCTCTACAATATATATATATATATATATTTGTGGATGACAAAAGAGTTCATGGTTGTCAGGAAATGAACCAGCAAAATTTCCAAGATGACAAAATTGCCTGCGATGTTCTGTCGAGCAAAGAGCATTCACTGCCTTTTCAGCAGGGACGTGATGGGGATAACTTGGATCCCATCAGTTCCTATCGCAAGCCAAATGATCATGATGCCACCAGAGATGCAATGGCAGAGTTGCATTTGCAGGAGGGGGATGCTCTCTTGCGACCATGCCAAGAGGATAACTCGGATCTCTTGGATGGCTGGAGCAAACAACAATTGCAGAGTCCAGTTCAAGAAAACAACGATGTGATGCTGGAGAGTTTGAAGGCGGATTTGCAAGTCCTTTTCACAGAAGGTTGGAAGGGGCTGAATCGTGATTTTGCTCTTATCCCCTACTTGCATCCATATGCAGCCATTGCCAGCCAACAGGTGAAATTGGATGTTGAGTGCCACAATGTTTTTCATATTTTCACGGATGGATCTTGCAAGCGTCACAATGCGGCATGGGCTTTTGTCGTTCTTTGTGAATGCAGGCTGCCAACGCATTCACACTTAGTTCGCATTGGCTATGCTGCTGGGATGATTGATGACTCAATTGGGCCAGTGCGTATGACAGCAACCGATGCTGAGGCGACTGCCATTATTGCTGGGGTGGAATACCTGTTGGCATGCCCCACAATTCAACATGCGGAAATTTTCTTCCATTATGACGCTTTAGCCGTGGGCCATGGTGCATGTGGATTGCAAAATGTTGTTCAGCATGTGGATCCCTTGTCCGATAGACAGCATGCTGCTCGCATCATGATGTCCATTTTGCAGCAGAGGGCAAGTGAAGTCACAGGTTTGCATGTCAAAGCACATCAAGGTCACCCATGGAATGAATGCGCTGACAGTATAGCTGGATTGGTCAGACAAGGTTGGCAGCCTATGGTCCAAACTGAATTCCGATCAGGACGGCTCTTGTCACATCAGTTACGGGAATGGGCATGGATTGAAGCAAAGCCGGACAGCCAGATGCCTTCACTCGCTATTGTGTTGAATAATAGCCAGGCCGATCCCAATGAGGGGTGGTATGACCCGACACTATCCCTTGAGGCCAGCAAATGGGAGCAAGGAAAAAAGGGTAGAGACATGAAAGAAGACCAGCATCATGGATGTAGGGTTCATCGGCTGAGATTTGCGACGGCAAATGTCGAGACTATGGAGTACAATGGTGATTCTGATTGCGGCAGCATCAAAGCAAATGAATTGTTGCGGCAATGCCAATTGGAACACATTCACATTTGTGCAATTCAAGAATCCAGAGCCCGTGTGTCACGCATGCTCACGAATGGGCCTTTCACTCGGCTTGTTGCCAAAGGCTGCAATGGACAAGCTGGGGTGGAATTGTGGTTGAATGGCGAGGAATTGGCCAAGATTTTCCATTGTGTTTTTCAGCCAGAAAAAGATGTGTGCGTGTGGCATTCATCGGAACGCATCCTTGCAGCACGATGCCAAATGGGTACGTCAGCATTGGAGATTGTCGTTTTCTATGCGCCTCAAAGAGGCCGCAGTGCGCAAGAGAAAGAACAGTGGTGGAAGCACTTCAAATCTGTCCTGGAGAAAAGAGACAAACGAGCTCATCTTTTCATGCTTGGGGATGGCAATTGTAGTGTTGGTTCATGTTCCGGTGATGAAATTGGACATCATGCTGCTGATTTGGAAGACGAAGGAGGTGAACTTCTCCGTGAAATCTGCAGGGAACAAAAACTCATGATTCCCTCCACTTTTGAGTGCTGGCATGAAGGGCAGACATACACATTCACTAGTGCGCATGGCGATAGATCCAGAATCGACTACATCTTGATGCCACAAGAACTTGGTGCAAGTGTGGTGCGTTCTTTCATACATCAAGATCTTGATCTCATGAATGGTGACAGAGATCATTTTCCTCTTTGTCTGGAATGCGACATCAAGGTCGGTGAGAAAGATGTGGTCAGACGCTTCAACAGGAGCCCAATATACCACCGAGCTGAGGCAATGAAAATGCAGCAAAAGGCTGCCATGCAAGATATTTTGGTGAACTGTCCATCTGTGGATTGGTCTGTTGATGTTAATGACCACTGGAATTGGGTGCGACATCACCTGCAGCAAAAGGTCAAAGATCTTTTTCCGTGCCAGAAGCGCCAGCAGCGTCAATTGTATTTCTCCAAAGAGGCTTGGAATGTGCTTTGCTCCAGAAAGGAGATCCGCAAGCAATATAGAGCCTTGCAACGTGAGAAAAGAATTTTGATTTTGAGAGCCATTTGGAAGGCATGGAAAGGAAACGTGCAGGACTCTCAAGCAGAGGAAACATTTCGCATGCCTTTGCATTTTCTGAGATGCCAAGAAGCTGTCACTTTAGAAGCGCGCATCAGGGTTGACCATGACTTCAAATGCATCAAAAGAAGAGATTGGAGGCAGTGGATAAAGCAACAACTTGTTGACAAAGTTGAAAAGGCCAGAGGAGTGCGGTCAGCGGAGTTGTTCAAGATCTTGCGCCCCAAGCAAATGATTGCCAGAAGCACCGGCAAGTTGATTCGTCAGCTTCCTGGACTATGTGGAGAGGATGGACAATGGAAAAACAACAGGGATGCCATCGCCTTGGAATGGCAAACACAGTTTGGAACCATTGAAAACGCCGAGGAGGTTACAGCAGCAGAATTGCTTCAACGTTCAGTTTCAAGACATGAAGACTGTTGGCAAGCGCTAGATCTCCTTTCAGTTCCTTCCCTCTACCAATTAGAATCAGCAATCAGAGCATTGCAGGCAGCCAAGGCCACAGGCCTTGATGGCCTGGGAGCGGAAGTGCTTCAAGCAGATCCAGTTGTAGCAGCCAAAAAGTTGTACCCGATCTTGTTAAAAGCAGCGGTCAGAGGCCAAGGCGTCATGGAGTTCGCAGGTGGATGGTTGCTGCCATTATTCAAAGGACGGGGCAACCCGCAAAATATGGCTGGTTACAGAGCAATACTTCTGGAATCTGTTGTGTCAAGAGCCTTTTCGAAGGCATGGAGACCACTGATCACGGAAGGATTGGCAAGAGTGGCACGACCCATGCAGTGGGGGGGCAGACAAGGACTTTCGATTGAGGCACTACATCTACACGTTCATTTCTGGAAAAGGAATGCGAAACATCAGCGCAAGTCTCATGCAGTTATTTTCCTTGACATCAAAGCAGCGTTTTACTCTGTGGTGAAACAGTTGGTAGCAGGCACAGCTTCCGGCATGCAGAGTTTGGAAAAAGTGTTTGCAAAGATGAATTTACCAACTGACATGAAAGAGGGGTTTCTGCAGCAGACGATGGGTGTCAATCTGATCAAGGAGGCTACAGGATCAGCTGTAATGGCCAACAGTGCAGCGGCAATGCTGGGCTTAACATGGTTCGTGATACCAGAGTCCAAGTCGCTGCAAGCGCCCATGACCGGCTCAAGGCCGGGAGACCCTAGCGCAGATGTGCTATTCTCGCTGGTCTTATCCAAGGTGATAGGTGTTATTGAAGAAAGAGCACAGCAGACTGGCATTCAGCTTTCACGTGAAACGACAGCTGGGCAAGTCTCGAACATGGTCACCTGGGTGGATGACATCGCTTTTTCTCTCACAGAGGATGCTGATCGTTTGGTGGGCAGAACCATGGATTTGCTGGGCATAGTACAAGATGCAATGCTGGAGCATGGTCTGTCCCTTTCTTACGGGGTTGGAAAAACAGCAGTGATGATCTCGTTTCATGGAAAGGGAGCGACTGTTGCACGGCAGGAAGCAGAGCAGAAGTATGGTCAAGGATTGGCATTGATGAGTGAGCACAAAGGAAAAGTGATCATCCCGATCGTGGGGCATTATCGACATCTTGGCGGCTTCATCACAAGATCGGGCTCGAGAATCCCGGAGCTGAGGGTCAGAACTGTCGGTGCCCTATCCAAACTCAAGCCGTTGCGACGGATTCTTGTTCATGAAGGTCTCCAAAAGGAGCAGAGAAGTCGGCTCATCAAGAGTTTGGGATTGTCAGTTTTCACATTACACGCTGGCACACTCTTTGCTCTTACTCAAGGTGAATATCAAGTTTGGCAAGCGGGTATTCACAAAATCTACCAATCCCTTCATCAAAGAAAGGCAAATGGTGAGGTGCAGCACTCCACTATGTATCAGCTAGCTGATGCGATGCAATCACCTATGCCTTTGGAACTGATGTATCTTTGCAGGCTGCGTTTGTTGGTGCATCTTTTCAAGACAGGAGATGCTTACATGATTGCGGCGATTGTGGAGAATTTCGAGATTGAGAAAGAGAATTCGTGGCTTCAAGGGGTTTTTCACAGTTTGAAATGGTTGGAAAATCAAGTTGGCGCAGAACATGTGCCAGAGGAGCTTTTTCAGCTGATGGACCCGCAAGTTTGGAATTGGTTTCAAGCAGGAGCTCATGAACTCAAGGGTTTGATCAAAAAGGCAGAGCAATCTCACTTGTGCAAGGTCAAATCATTTTGCGAGTTGAAAACTCATGCGGAGGTGCAAGATCAAATCTGCAGAGAAATGGGATGGACCTTGGAGGAGGAGAGTGAGAAAGGAGAGGAATCCAGCACAAGTGCAGGCTTTCATGAATGCACTGAATGTGGGGCGAAGTTTGACAAGGCCTCTTCATTGGCCACCCATGAGCAACGCAAGCATAACAAACGGGTTGCTCGGAGGAGGGTGGCATGTGATGCAGCATGTCGGGCATGTGGTCGGTTTTACCACACGCGGCCTCGCATGATCAAGCATTTGCAGATGGCGAAGTCAGGATGCTGGATTTTTCATTTACGAAATTATGTTCCCATGTCTGAAGAGGCAGCAGCCGAGCTTGATGAGCATGACAGAAAGAGGGGAGTGGCTGCTCATCAGAAAGGGCTTGTGGAGCACTCCTTAGATCAAGGTTGGCGATGGTGCACTGATCAGGAGAAAAAAACACATTTTGCCTTTGAAGGAACACCCTCCCGTGCAAGATGGTGCACCAACGGAGCAGGAGCTGGCGGAATGGGCAGCTCTGGGCATGTTACCTCCAGGGCAAGGAGGCAGACAAATCACATTGAGAAACGCAACTGAATGGACGGTGCACAATGTGGGACAAGAAGCAACCAAATTTGAGCATCAGCTCCTTGACAGAGCCACCAGATGGAATCCGAATCCGGATTGGATCCCTAGAGGACCGGCAGATGGAAGGCGTTTTTTCCTGATCCTTTTTTCAGGACATCGTCGTTTCGAGGATCTGGCTTCATACATTTGGTGGCAATCAAATTTAATCCCGATTTGTGTGGATGTCGCCATCCACCCAGAGTTTGGAAATATCCTGGAGATTGGGTTGTGGCGTTCACTTATTCATGCCAGACGAGTCGCAGGGGGGCACGCTGGCCCCCCATGCGAGACATACTCCTTGGCCAGATGGTTGGAAATTGAAGACAGCATTTATCCAAGACCTTTGCGGAGTTGTGAACAGCCTTGGGGATTGGATGGAAGAACGCTGAGAGAGACACGGGCAGTGGATGATGGGAAACATCTTGATGTGGCGTGCTCTTTTTCTTCTTTTCACCATCTATGCATATGGAGGCTCATTCACCCTGGAACACCCAAAGGGCTGTGGAGGTAAGGACAACAAGTGGACCATATGGGACTCATCCTTTATCAAGCAGCTCATGTTGGCAGGGGACATCAAGCTCTGGACAATACTTCAGGGCCCGTTGGGACAACCATGCGCCAAACCAACCAATCTTCTGGCAGCGAGGTTGGAAAGGTTGGGGGCGGCCATCTATGAAGGCTACAACAAGCGATGGCGGCCGACGACAAAGCTTGGGGGCCGTGAAGGCTCCCAGTGGAAAACGGCCCGTGCAAAGGCATATCCACCAGCTTTGTGCCGCATACTAGCGCAGCAGCACATTGCCTTCGCTGAGCAGCAAATTGGGGAGGGAACAACCCAGGAACCGGAAGGTTTGGAACAAGCATTGGATGCACTGGCGAATTCCTATGACCCTTATTGGCTAGAAGCGAGGGGCACAAAAATGTGCTCGGATTACAATTTTGGAAAGATTCCAGAGGACTCAGTAGTCACCTAAAGGGTGAAACGAAAAGCCTCTGTTAATTGAGAGCAACAGACATGGGTCGCTCACCAAGAGCTTTTGTGTCCCATGGTGCATGCAGGCGACTGCAAGACGGTCACAGACAGAGTGGAATGAAAATTATATATATCATATTATATCATACATATATACATACATATTAATATTATAATGATTTATATATAATATATAATATGTGTATATAATTACATTATATATATATATATATATATATCATGCTCATCCATTGCTTAGTCGAACAAATCTGCTAGGCCCCGCCTCAATGACAGCGCTTCCTTGCCCAGTTCTCTCATGCGAGCAAGGATGGGCCAGTCTGGTTCCTGTCGATGCAGGGTGACTTGACACCCCACTGGTTTGACTGCCATGAGTTCCTGATGTTCAACATGTTCTCTGCATTTCTCTACCATCTATCTTTTAAAGCCAGCAAAAATCAGATGGATACCCAGTATGCATATTGATCAGACCACCAACACTCAGGCTGGGTTTCATGCTCACTTCATTACACTTCCTCATTTAAACCCCAATTGCCCAGAAGGCACAGATTTGCAGTGTCTCCTGCGGCGGTTTCTCTGCCAGGTTGATGCACTCAGTCACCACCTGTGGCAGCACGGCCCCTGGAACTTTTGGGCCTCCGTCCAAGTGCTTGGGTGTCTTTCTAAGGCTTTCCCTTTTTTTGAGAAAGGTAAACGCACTTTTGAGTTAGAAGGCGAGAGTAGCTGTTGCTTTTCACTCGGCTCATCCTTGCAACCGACAACTACAGCTCACCTCGTTGGGTTTGATGACATAGAAGCCAAACTCCTGAACTCCGAGGTTCAAGGCCAGGATCGCCGTGTGTGAGTCCATCCAAGACATCTAAGCTCAAATCTCCAATGTGGGACATATCACATCGATAGTTTGTCTGTCAAAATGAGGGAGACAAAGTCACCGTCAGGATGCTGGAATGTCCCGGCAGGCCGAGGGGTTCAACTGCAACTGGGATACAATTTAAGAGAACCTCCATATCTCACCACATCCATCCATAATATCCACATCCACCCTATAGACAGAGATACCATGGCCCCCGTGGCCTTGGACCGACCTGTCCTGACTGAGTCGATCTGCTAGTGGCGCCGCAAAGGAGCTTTGGCCTGGCACATGGTGGACCGCACCTGGTGTGAAGCGGGTTCATCACCCATTTGTATCCCTTTGTCATCATTGTCATCATTGTCATCATTTATCTACCTGTAACCCACTCATCTGGAGTATTGCGGGGGCAAGAAATTACTACACTTTGCCACTTTGCTTTACTTTATCTGTGGACTTGGCCTTCTAAAGGTGCTCAACAAAAAACTTGAATAACGTATCAAACAGACGCAACAGAACTGCAGCAAGAGGATGGCTCACGAAAGGTTACCTTGGATTCACACCGATTTCCATCTGCCATATTGCTCAAAAAACGGGTATGGATCGTTCTGCAGTGATCTGGACGTATGGAACGAGCGAATTGCGTGTAAGAGGTTTGATCCGGACCTACTGAGAAGGGATACTAAAGTGGCCTGGTATAAGTACATACAAGATCATACAAGTACAACTTGTCATTTTTGGGTATGGATCACCTCCCTTAGAGATGTATGGATCATCGGTATGCATCGGGGCTGTGGATCGCCGGGTACATTTTGAGCCGGAGCCATATAACATCATATAACCAGGTACTTTGTTGTAACTTGGGTTGCAAATCACAATCCCAGTTACTCAGCTAAGATCCCAGGTGAAACACTGGTGAAACTAAGCCATCTCTTGAATCTCTTGTCAAGAATTGTTCATGGGCAACATTTCTTTGACCCTGTCACCACCTCCACAAAGTCCCAAAGGGCTGCCAGCAAGCGCCACAACGGGCAAGAAGTCTTTGGCCAGCTGCCCCTGGTCGGGCAAGACTATGGCAGCCTATGGTGCTTTAAAGATCTTTAAAGAAAAGTTGAAGAAACCAACCTGCCCCATGAGGACCGTGGAAGGTGTGGATGCTGAGAGATGAACAAGTGAACTATTTTGAGTTTTGAAGATCTTCTGAGTGTCCCAGTAATTGGCTGGTGAATTGGGTTCGTGCCCTTTCAGCACTTTCAATTTGGCTGCCATATGCCCAATGGAAATCCGCCCACACCGCTTTGGCGGTGAAGGCGTGCTTATTGGGGGGCAACAGCAACACTAAATGCTCAATGACATTTGTTAATATAGCAGTCGCTATATCAGCTTTAGCTGGGGGGGGGGCCAAAAACGGTTTCGCACCGAGACCAGACCCCAAAAACGGTTTCGCACCGAGACCAGAATACGGTGGTGTTTTCGACATTTTTCGAGGATTTTTGGGTGTCTGAGCGCAAGAGGGTATTGAAATGGAATTTTGGGTCATTTTGGTAGCTTTCCGGCAATGGAAAAACGGCAAAAATGAAAAAAACATTGTACATAGCAAGATTTTGCAGGGTTTTTGGATGCCAGAGCATTGAAAACACTGCAAAAACAAGTGTTTTGGACTGACGTTATAGCAAAAAACGTGTAAATTACCGTATGCTTGACTGGAAACATTACAAAAACACTGTCAAAAGCAATGTTTTGGAAGGATTTACTGCCTTTATGGCAAAAAACGTGTAGACTTACCGTCTGTTTGACTGGAAAAAACGTGTAAATTACCGTCTGTTTGACTGGAAACATTGGAAAAACACTGTCAAAAACAATGTTTTGGAAGGATTTCTTATTGAAATTTCTTAGCTTGAAGAGCCCCCACGGGGGAAAACCACCCTTAGCCCCTCTCACGGACCGAAATAAACCTGCGGTGTGGGCGGCCACCCCACGCGAAGCGGGGTGAATATTGATTGACACGCCTCGTCTCAAAACAGAATCCCTTCCCAATTTCCTCCCCTGACGGTTCGCAATGAGCTTATATAAGATATATAAAGTGGGGGTGTAGTCCATCTTTTCGCCATTCCTGGACAATTCCTGCCTTAACACCCACGGTGTGTTTTCAGCCTAAAACCTAAAATCCTGTTTCGGGGTGTGTGACACGGCCTAGAACTTGACCTTTTAGACCCTTCAACAAGGCCTCTGCGGCTGTCATTTTCCTCTCGATGAATGCTTCTTTGGACACCGGCTGTGGCAGAGGGGCCGGCCAGCGCTGAAGCAAACGACCTCTTTGTGACTTTCACTTCTGCACACCAAAACATGGCAAAACGTAACAAATGCTGCTCTGTCAACAATGCCTTCGCGGGCCAAAAGCCAAACCCAACAAATCGTATCTGCTACCTGCTTCCCTCCAAGAGCGTGCCCAGATGAACTAGGCGCCAGCCACAGATCCGGCTGTCTTTCTCAGGTTGTTGGCAGACCAAACTGCAAAACCAAGGGAACGGCTGAAAAATTGCAGTCTTTTCCCGAATGTGTAGCAAGGGTTCCCGTTTCACTCTGGGGGTCTGGGGGTTGAGAGTGTGTTCGCTCGACGTTGCGTCCGCGTCCGCAACCGTTCGCAACCGTTCGCAACCGTCCGAAACCGTCCGCAACCGTTCGCAACCGTTCGTACGAGGTCCGTATGGCCGTGCCTATGGGAAGTTTTGCAGAGGTGGTCATTTTTGGAGGTTTCAGACGTGTCGTTGCTTCGTTTCGCGTGGCAGGCGTGGCACTTCGTGACATTCAGACGTGTTCTGGAACGTGTCGAAAGTCGTTTTGCGTGGCAGGCGCAATACTTTTGTGACGTTGTCAGAAGATGTGTTGCAGTTTTCGTGGCAGGCGCAGCACTTTGGACGTGTCCATCGTCATTTTTCGTGGCAGGCGCAGCACTTTAGACGTGTCCTGTTGCGTGTTTTTTGCAAATCGCATTGGCAGGGCTGCGTCAAGTGGCGACAAGGTGCAAATTCCGTGGCAGGCGTGGCATTTTGTGTGATGTGCTGAAAATTGACGGAAGCCTCGCACGAAACATCGATTTTGAGGTTGCAAATTTTCAGGTTCTAAGGAAAACTCGTCGGAAAACGTCGATTTTGCAGCTACAAAGTGTGAAAATTGGAGGAAGTCTCGCACGAAATGCTCGTTTTGGTGCTCCCACCTGTCTCGTCTCGCGTCTCTGGTTTTCCCGTGGCCTCGCCGTGTCTATGGGGGAAGCTGCAAAACTTGTCCTTTTGTCATGTTGCCAACTGTGAAAATTGGAGGAAGTCTCGCACGAAATGCTGGTTTTTCTGCATGCACGTGTCTTGTCTCGAGTCGCTGGTTTTCCTGTGGCGTCGCCGTGTCTATGGGGGAAGCTGGAAAACCTGTCCTTTTCGAATGTGTCCAAGCAGGTTGTCATGTCGTTTTGCGTGGCAGGCGTGGCACTTTGTGACATTCCAAGCTGTTTGATAACGTGTTGAAAATGTCAAAATTGGAGGAAGTCTCGTACGAAATGCTCGTTTTTCTGTACCATGCGTCTCGTCTCGAGTTTCTGGTGTTCCTGTGCGTCGTCGTGTCTATGGGGGAAGCCGCAAAATCTCTCCTTTTCGAAAGTTTCCAAGCAGGTTGTCATGTCGTTTTGCGTGGCAGGCATGGCACTTTGTGACATTCCAACCTGTTTGATAATGTGTTGAAAATGTCAAAATTGGAGGATGTCTCGTACGAAATGCTGGTTTTTCTGCATCCAAGTGTCTTGTCTCGAGTCTCTGGTTTTCCTGTGGCGTCGCCGTGTCTATGGGGAAAGCTCCGCACTCCACACTCTACACTTTACACTCCACACACTACACTTTGCACTTTACACTCCTCACTCCTCACCTGAGACTTTACACTCCACACTCCACACTTTACACTACACACTCCTTACTTTACACTCCTCACTTCACACTCCACACTTTCCACTCCACACTCCACACTCCACACTTTACACTCCACACTCCACACTTTACGCTCCTCACTCCACACTTTACACTCGCCACTTTACACTCTACACTCCACACTCTACACTTTACACTCTACACTTTCCACTCCTCACTCCA